TAAAAAGGCAGCAGTGTTGGAGAATTGAATTAATATTCACAGTGGCCCTTTTAAAATAACAGCAAGGCTTCAGCATTTATATTTGAGATTATGTAATGTTTTGTTTTCTTTGAAAAGACTGCGATGTGGCCCAGTCTTTAAAGTGCTGTTAATAGATATGATGGTAGGCTACTTAGCTTGGTCTCTGATCATGAAACTAGAAGAAAGGATGGAAAGTTAACAGGCCTCAGTTGAGAATAAAGATTAGAAGAAACTTGGAATAAAATTGCAGCTAAAGCAAATAATATGGTGAAAAACATTGGCACAGGAAGATGTGGTGCAGGAAGGGTTGACCAGCAACAATGAGCAAATGGAATGCAGCACAGACTGGCCCTAAATTGTTATAAATTAAAATTGAATTTAAAATCTTAGCCACTGTCGTCTTTAAGGTTACGAGTTAGACATGTAACCTGACTCCCCAGAGTCGGTCACAGACCCAACATTTTTATAGAAAGGGCTGCCACGCTTGGGGGTATTGAGAGCTGCCAGTCACTCGAAATGACCAGTAGTGGTGTGGTTCCAGCAGCGCCAGACTCTGCAGTGACCATTGCTGGGACTACATGCAGACCCAAGGTCCATGCCAACCTGACTCAAAGTTGAGTCTCAGGGCTTTTGGACTGGGAGGAATCCTAGACTCGGGGGAGTAAACAGTGGGTTTAGAGTCCAACTAAAAGGCCCAAGATTGCAAGAGGTCTTAAGTGGGGGGTGCTCCTGTTGAGTAAAAAGGACCTTCCCTCCACTTCCCAAAGAGGAACTACGCCTCTTTCCTTCCTGCCTTTTCACCTTCGATAATGGCCTCCTTTATACCACCTAGCAGCACCCCCTGTATTGTAGTGCCAGAGGTGGAGTTAGATCTTATATGCTCTTTAATTGTGCTGACAGAATTTTGACAAGTTTTGTGGACTGGAAAGAGTGTCAGTTTAGAGACAGGTAAAATAAATAATTTTTGTTTTATTCTTTCATGGGATGGGGGCTTCACTGGCTGGTCAACATTTATCGCCTGTCCCCAGTTGCCTTTGAGAAGGTGGTGATGAGCTGCTTCCTGGAACCACTGCAGTCCATGTGCTGTAGATAGACACACACTGCCCTTAGGAAAGAAATTCCAGGATTTTGACCCTGTGACAGTGAAGATATGGCAATATGTCTACAAGTCAGGATGGTGAGTGACTTGAAGGGGATCTGTGGGTGGCATGGTGACTCAGTGGTTAGTACTGCTGCTTCACAGCTCTAGGGATCCAGGTTCAACTCCAGCCTTTGGTGACTAGCTGTGTGGAGTTTGCATGTTCTCCTCATGTCTGCGTGGGTTTCCACTGGGAGCTCCGGTTTCCTCCTACGATCCAAAAACATGCAGGTTAGGTGGAATGGCATTGCTAAATTGCCCATAGTGTCCAAGAATGTGTAGGCTAGGTGGGTTAGCTGTGGGAAATGGAGGTTTATGGGGATTGGTTGGAATGCTGTTTGAAGACTTAATGGGCCGAATGGCCTCTTTTGGTACTGTAGGGATTCTGAATCCAAACTCTAAACTTGCAGCTGATGGTGATTCCATGTATCTACTGCCCTTACCCTTCTAGATGGAAGTCGTTGTAGGTTCGGAAGGTGCTGTCTGAGGATCTTTGCTGAATTTCTGCAGTGCATCTTGTAGATAATACACACTGCTGCTAATGAACATGGATAGTGGATGCTTGTGGATGTAATGCCAAACAAACCGACTGCTTTGTCCTGGATAGTGTCAAGCTTCTTGAGTGTTGTTGGAGCTGCACCCATCTAGGCAAATGTATTCCAGCACACTCCTGACTTGTACCATGTAAATGGTGGACAAGCTTTGGGGAGTCAGGAAGTAGTTATTCACTGTAGTATTTGTAACCTTTGACCTCCTCTTGTAGCTATTGTGTTTACGTGGTGAGTCCCATTGAGTTTCTGGTCAATGGTAACCACCTTCCCTTCCAGTATAGTGGGAGATTCAGTGATGGCAATACCATAGAATGTCAAAGGGTGGTGGATAGATTGTCTCTTATTGGAGATATTCATTGCCTAGCATTTGTGTGGTGTGACTGTAGCTTACCAGTTGTTTGCCCAAGCCTGGATATTGTCCAGATCTTGTTGCATTTGAACATGGACTGCTTCAGTATCACAAATGGTGCTGAGCATGCAAGAACTTAAGGATGAAAATGAAAATTTTAAATTGGATGTGATGGAGTATTGGAATGGCATGTCTTGCCTGTCTCCATCTTCACAGGGTTAAGGTTAGGGTTAGCCAGCAACACCCAAGTCCCATGATTGAATTAAAAATAAACATTGTACGTTAGTGAGGACAAGTGGTGACCGAGTGGATCAGAATGAGACAGTGGATGAATTGAAGCTTTAGGTTCCTGATATCTTTAACCATTTTTTTATTGCAGTGGCTGCTGTGATGAAAATCTGGGCCTCAATGCAGTTTTTGAGTTGGGTGAGCTTGTAAAAATTCCAGTTGATCAGGGTTAGAAGTACCAGTATATGCTCATCCTATCAAATGCAACATTGCCTTGGCCTTCCTGATTGGTTGTAAAATAAAGTGTACTCTGTCACTTTGGGCATGTGTGTCTTTTATCAAGTGTTGTCTTAATGCTGTAAAAAGAGGCAAATCCCTTCCTACAGAGTGAATTGTATTTTATCTTTTTTCAACAAAGCACTTCTTTAAAATTTTTAAATAACCTTTCATAACTCTTTTAACCTTATATCATTTTGTTCAGTGCCATGAGGCAATGTACTAAACAGAACAGTGCAAGGGTGTCAAGCAGAACAGTTGGAGAGTGTTGAGGAAGGTTTCAAGTAGGACAGTAAGGGAACATCCTGAGTGGGATTGTTATAGGGGGTGTGGGGTTTGAGTGGTATGGTGAAGGTTGCCTCAAAGAACCCAGTTAACATAGCGCACACACCCAAAGATAGAATGAGTGCTGACTTGCTGTTCAGGACTCCTGAAGAAGGGTAATACACAAAACGTTGACTGCTCTTTTCCTCCAGATGCTGCCTGGCTTGCTGTGTTCTTCCAGTCTCCTGTTTGTCTAACTGCAAAACCCTGCCCTTATTTTGCAATGCCTTTATAGTGACTTTCTTCAGCTTCATATTTCTATTCCTTGTTTCTCATCCTTGTCACTTTGGGATACAGAGTCAGCTGTATCTTGTCGATTTCCTCCCCAAGGTTTGCATTTATCCTTACCTGATTGTAAAAGCATATTGATAATTATTAGTCAACAAATCTTTTGACCTTGCTCCCAGTTCAATTTAACCTGTTCTTTCCCTTTTGGTGCCTACTTCCTGAATTTCAAGCAGTCTATGGAGGCCATTGAATATTAAGAAGGAGCTGCTTCTGTTACGATAGTCTGCATTGCCATCATCATCAAGTAACTTAGTAAAAACACCTCTAGAACCTGTTTTTTGTTGTATATATTGAAACCTGAACGCTGAGGAGGCCTCTCACCTGTTCTGAGTTAGCTGAGGCTGCAATAGACATGTTGCTTTTCAGTGTCTTTGAATTTGGATAATGCCACACAGATTTCAGGTTCCTAAGCCTCCAACATGGCAGACCAGAGGTTTGTGGCCATTATGAGCTGGTGTGTGCTGCCTGCTTTATTTGTATCAGCAAAGCTATAGACCTCTGGAGGCCAAACCTTTTGGATCTCTCTGCTGTTGGCTGCATTTAGGAAAACAGGTCTAGCAGGTAATCCTTATCAATACTAGAAAACAGTCTAACTACAGTGTGATAGATATTAATTCACAATGTAAACCTCTATACTGCTCTGTTAAGCAGGACTGATTTTTTGTAAGTTTACCTGGACCATCTCTAACACCTCTCTCCCCTTCCTGGACTTCTCTGTCTCCATATCGGGCAACCACCTAGAAACCGATATTCATTTCAAGCCCACCGACTCCCACAGCTACCTAGAATACTCCTCCTCCCACCCACCTTCCTGCAAAAATGC